CATTTATTGGTTCTTCATTTAATTTTATTATTTCAAAATGGTTGTAATAAAATTATAATAACATTGAAGGGGGTAATGATTGTTATATATAAATTATTATCTTTTTGTTTTATTTATATTTATATTTTTCATTTATTTTCTTTTGATAAAAATGAAATACAAGAAATAAAACAAAAATTCAATAATAAAAGAATGAAAACAAATATTATATGTATTGATAGAAATACATTAATTATCATATTAAACATTACCATAATAATAACTATTATCATAACAATTATAACAATAATTGTATGAATTATTTCACTCATCACTTTATTCATTTTCATCATCATAAATATTTTATCATTAATTCAAATAGAATCAATCATTATAATACAAATAAATATCATAATAAAACACAACACATTTATAAACAATATCATAATAAAAGACAACAATAAATAAGAAATAAAAGAAATAATAAAAATACATATAAATGAAAGAAATGAAGTGAATATATAAGAAATATAAATAATATATTTAATAATATGAAATTATCAGTAACAATATGTTATTAAATATAAAAATATTTTCATTCATCAAATTAATAAAGATATAAGAATAAATAATTATGAATTGAAGTATTAAATATAAAATAATCAATATTGATATTTCAAAATATTGTAAACATAATCATAATATTATTTAATCTATTAATCATATTTTGTTATGATGTAATAAAGAATAATCAAATATATAAATATGTAATAGTTACATATTTTAATGAAATTGATTTCAATACTCATTATAAATATATTAATAATGATGAAAATATCATAACTTACAATAAAGATATTTAGTTAATAATAATTCAAATTTCATGAATTGAAATATCACATCATTTTCATTATTTAAAAATATTTTATTCATTGTTATTTTATAATTCTATTTCATTATTTTAATATTATTTAAATTAATAGAATTTCTATATTCTTCAAATCATGATTATATTTTATTATTTTAATTTAAACAATATAAACAAATTTAAAATATTAATAATATAAATAATGTAATATCATTTCATTAATATTTCTGTATTTAATCTTATCCTTCTTCTATTATTATAATTATTCTTTGATTTTCTTTATTCTTTATCAAATTAAACTATATTTTCAAATTACATTTATTTCAACTTCTATTCTTTTTATTATTCAAATAATAACATTATTCAAATATATTTATTATATTTAATCTGATCATATTCATTTTATATTTTCATTCTTCATTATTATCAATTCTAATATTCATAATGTTTTTATCAAATTATTGAATATTGAAATATATGAAATTTCAAGAGTAAAATAATTAATGATGTATATGATAGATAAATGATATGATTAACAATGTATATTAATTGATAAATCAATATTATTAGATTTACATTAATGAATAAAAAATATAATAACAATTAATATTTCATTTCATAATGAAAAATCAATAATTCATTATTTCACACTTCTTTATTCTCTGTTCTTTTTCATTTCTTATTTTTATACTCTCTTTTATTTATATTTGATAATATATTAGAAATATTCCATTTTTATTATTTTCATCTATTTTTCATATTCATATCTTTATATTCATTATCTTTATAACAGTACTCTTATTTTTAACATTCATCATAACATTAATTTTATTTATTTGAAAATGTTGTTATTTCTTAATCATTAAAAATGAAAGACAAATTAAAATTAATATAAAATAAAAATGATGATTACTCCCTTTTTATTATTTGATATTTTCATTAAATTTCTATTATTTATTTAATTTGAATTTCTATAAAATTACATACAAAAAAATTATTTATTTTTTAAATGAAAATTAACAATAAATTCTATTTATTATTTCTTATCATTTTCATATCTTCATGAATAATAATATCAAATCATTATTTCATTTAATTCATTTAATTGTTATATTCTGATTATTATCAACATTGATTGATAATTTCAAATATATTCTTATTCATTATTCATTATAAAATGAAGTAAACAATAAAATAATATAATTAAACAATTTGATTTACAATATCTTCATTAACACATAAATTCAAATGAGAAACTGATATTGAAACAATAACAATAATAAATTATGAATATCAAACATAAAACTAAATGATTTATAATCAATTTAACTAATTAATTATTAATATAAACATATTCATTTAAATAATATTTCAATCTAGGACCAAAATAAACAAAGAAATAATATATATAAATAAAAATTATAAAAATAAAAATGAATAAAATAATTTATATCAATAAAATATTGTTAAATAATTTGTATCAATAAATTAAACACTTTTTTATTTCATATTTCTAATTTATGTAATAAAAAATACATCCTTTATTTCATCCTTCTTTTCATTTTTTATTATCTCATTTTGAATTATTCATTTTTATCTTCTTTCATTTTATAATCTCAACATTCTACTTTTATTCTTTTCATCTTCTTCTACTTCTTAATTTCACTCTTTTATATCATTCTTTCTCTTCCTTTCTACTCATTTCCTTTTTTTGTAGCGAATATTATTGTATCTATTATCTTTTATCATATTTTATTATTATATTATTAAATAAAAATAAAATATAAAATGAAATAATAATAAAATATAAAATAAAATGAAATATTTAATAATTATAATTTATTAAAAATAAAAATAAATAACATTTTATTTTATTTCTTATTATTTAATGTTTTTCATAATAAACATCAATTAATAAAAATAGAATGATGATAAAGAATAAAAAAGAAGAAATTAAAATATAAAAATAAAAGAACTAATAAAAACAACTAATAAATAATAAGTCAATAATGAAATTAGGATATAATGAAATAATGATAGTATCAATGTATTTTAATGATATTAATGATTTTATTAATTTAGAAATGGGTGTTAAAAGATTTCAAGGAAATATTGAACGATTTCATTTTAATCCAATTCCATTAAATGAATATTCAAGAAAATTATTTCCTAATATTGAAACATTTCATATTTATAATGAAGAAGATGAAATATTTGATGATGGAAAAATATTTAAAAAAGTAATATGGTATACAGTAAATTATTCAACATATTTAAAAGAAAAAGAACAAGGAAATATCTGTAAAAATATAGAATATACAGAAGAAGATAGAAAGAAATATGGAAATACAATACCATCAGAAGTTAAATCACTTGGAGATTATTGTTTTAATAATTGTGATTCATTAACATCAATTGATATACCATCATCAGTAAGTAAAATAGGAGCTGATTGTTTTATTGGATGTACATCATTAAGATCAATTAATATTCCATCATCTGTTAGTTTTATAGGATATGGATGTTTTTTAGGACGTTCATCATTAACATCTATGAATATAGATAATCTACAATTTATTAGTAAAGAAAGAATATTTATGAATGAACCAGTGTTAGTTAGTATTGAAATACCAAAAAATCTAGAAATAATCAATGGAAAGAATATTGAAAAGAAAGATATTAATGAATTTATTATTCCATCATCAATTACTAAATTAGGAGAATATTGTTTTTATCAATGTTCATCATTAACTTCAATTAACATACCAACATCAATTAATGAAATAGGAATTTATTGTTTTTATGAATGCTGTTCATTAATATCAATTAATATACCATCATCAATTAGTAAATTAGGAATTTGTTGTTTTAAAGAATGTTATTCATTAAAATCAATTAACATACCAGCATCTGTGAGTGAAATAGGAGATTATTGTTTTGATGGATGTTCATCATTGACATCGGTGAGTGTAGACAATCTACAATTTATAAGTAAAGAAAGAATATTTATGAATGAACCAGTGTTAGTTAGTATTAAAATACCAGAAAATCTACAAATAATCAATGGAAAGAATATTGAAAAGAAAGATATTAATGAATTTATTATTCCGACAACAATTACTAAATTAGGAGATTGGTGTTTTTATGAATATTCATCATTAATATCAATTAATATACCATCAACAATTAATGAATTAGGTGATGATTGTTTTTGTGAATGTTATTCATTAACATCAATTAATATTCCATCATCAATTAGTAAAATAGGATATGAATGTTTTTATAATTGTTCATCATTAACATCTATTAATATACCATCTTCAATTACATCATTTGGACGTGGATGTTTTTATGGATGTGGATGTGAAGAAGAATTAATGAAAAATGAAACAATACCAACAGATTGTTTTAAATGATGATGAATGAAATAAAAATATAATAAATGAAATACAATATAATTTGAAGTAGAAATAAATTATAAGTGATTATCATTTATATTATTATTATTCTTTTCTTATTTATTCATTTTGATATTATTCTTTTTTGTTGTGTTAAAATATTTATTATTATTTATTCTATATGTTTATTATTTCTTATATCTTCTATTTTATCTTATTTATTTATTATCTTTTATATCTTTATTATTATTTTATTATTCTTTATTATTCTTATATTCTATATTTTAACTTATGGTTTTCTATTATTAAATATAAATTAAATGAATTTGATATTATAGATAAATAAATATCAATTTTATTAATCTATTTGTATTTATATAATATAAATATCAATAAAATTAAATTATAAGTTAAATTAAATGAAATATGAATATGAATAATATTAATATAAAATGAAATAATTAAATAATAAGAATATATTTAAAATATAAATATCAAATACATGAATAAAATAAATAATAAAATATAAATCAAAATAAATAAATAAAATAATGAATAATAATCAAATATTAAAACATGAATATGTATGTAAACAAATATATAAACATATATTAATTACATATTTTATTAAATTTAATGAAATTTAATTTTAATATATATCATAAATGTATATTAATATTAATATATTCTTATATTAAATTATTGATTTATTTGTTAATGACAATTCGTTTAATGTTAGAAGACCAGATATATATTATCAAATCATCAAAAATAAAAATGATATATTAATGATGTTGATATATGTCAAAATAGAAATATAGAATTAAATTATATTTACAAAATAAATAAATACAAAGAATTACAAGAGAAGCTAAAACAAAATAGAGGATTAATTTATGTAGAAATAATACCTGTAATATTAACAATAAATTAATACATAAAGAAACAGTAAGAAGATTAAAGACACTAAAATTACAAATCAACTTCAACAAAATAATACGAACAATCATCATTAAAAACATGAAATATTTAATGTTCTACATATTCAACACTGGTAACACATTAGAAGATGAACCTTCTAATTCTCATATGTTAGAAATAAACTTTATTATAGAAATAGAGCATATTGAAATCATTGAAATAATCACTTCTCAATAATCATAAAATCCAATTGTGGATATATCTATTATTTGATATTTTTATTACAAATTTCTGTATTTCTTATTTATCTTTATTTATTCTATCATATTTGTCATTTCTTTATATTTATAATTTAATTTCATAATATATTTCATTTATATTTTCATTCACAAATGAATAAACATGAAATTGAAATGAAATATAATAAAGATGATTTAAAAAAGAGAGAATAATATAAATTGAATAAATATTTCATTTTAATGATTCAATATTCAAAATTGTATTCAATGAATAAATATGATATTATTATATTCTTGTTTTGATAATGAATTTATTGTATTTTTATTGTTTCATACATGATTTATTATAGAATTTATTCAAATATTAAATCATGAAATGTCATTATATTGATTTATATCTTATATTAATTAATTATGATATCAAGAATAATGTAAATGATGTTCAGAATGAAATAAATAAATGAAATAATGTATTTAAATAATGAAAAATATGAATATTTTATTGTTATCATTGTATTTAGTTAATATAAACA